CCAGTCCGAGTCCGTGAAGACGGTCACGTTGATCTCCTCGTTGGACTGGAGCTTGAAGACCCTCTTCAAGTAGGGGAACTTTAGGAGATAGCGCGCCACCTTCTTCAAGCGCATCCAATCTGAAAGTTTCGGTGCCACCATAGCTGATGCCAAGGTTCTGACCGAATGGCACAAGTCTGGCCTGTCGATGCTCATGTAGGCCACATCACCATTGACCTGAACTGCGTGATCTGGGATTGCTCCAAAGTGGTTTCCCTCTCCGCCTCGATCAAGTCCTTCTCTGTCATCTTGTCCTCTGGGACGTCGCACCCTTTTGAATCAGGCTTGAACCCAAACTCCTTGACCAAAATCTCGGAGTGCCTGGCGTCAGCCTCGATCTCCAAGCGACATTCTCCTTGTCCCGCTCCATCTGGAACGTAGCGAATCAACCTGTTGAGGAAGAACATCTCACGTTGATCGTTCTCCCCATCTCCCAATGTTGCCTCCCACCTTGCTGTATAGCGGGCATTCAGCTGTTGGTCCATCCACTTCAGACCACTCTTTTCTCCCACGACCAGGAAATCATCACCATGAACGACTCCAATCAAGCCCTGCTGCTCGATGTTGAAAATGGATGGGCACACCTTGGAAAACTGTTCTTCAGCCATCCCTCATACTCGGTCTGGAAGATCTTGGCGGCATCCTGCGTGCCGTAGAGCGATCGTTTCAAACGACCCACCATAGGTCCTTGATCACCTGGATGAACTCGATCTTCCTCAGGCAATTCCATGTACAGCTCCCTCTCAGCTGTCCCCATAAAATGGGCTCGAGAGATGTCCCAGTTTGCCATCTTTTTGCGTCGATCACCAGGTGCTCGGGTCATGAAGCAGCTCATCAAAGCATAGACTGCCTCAATCGGTGGAGTGCTGCTGAATGTGTCACTGCCACCCAGTTGCATCTCTTTGGGCTTTGCTCTTTTGATCTCCCGGGCCACCAACCTTGATCTGATGCGAACATGATCGGCATCGCCCTTGTTGATGTCGACCCACTTGACTCGAAGAAGTTGATGCCCTTGTGCAAGCTCTGCAGGAACTCGCTCATAGACTTGTTCTCCTCTGATCCATTTGAGCTCCTCTTCTCTGGCTTTCTTCACTGCCTCTGGGTCCAAAATGGCTCCCGAGGCATCGTCGATGATTGGCTCTGCCTCCTCAATCTCCATGTCCCATTCAACTGCATCATCAGGCGATGGGCCCGAAATCATCTCCTCAACCATGCTGATCTTCTTGGTCCTTCTCACCTCCTCCTGAAGACCACGAAGTATGGCTTCCACCAAAGCCTTTGGATACACCTGTGCGGCCTTCGCACGTTGTCCTCCGATCAGCTTCACATGCCGATGAATCTCCTGCCCATGCAGCACGTTGTCGCAAACTCCTCCGAGCTCGTTTGCAATGGCCTCACTGTTTGTAAGCCACAAGGTTTCTTTCCTCACGTGTTGCTCCTCCCCATTGTCGTCCTTGAGCTTCATGCCAAATCGACACATAGGGCTCTGGACCAGGTAGTACTTGCCGCTGTCCACAAGCTCTTTCACCTCAGGCATTTTCCAGCTCCAAGAATCCTTGGGGTGCTCGTGCAGGAAGTAGTTGCCCGTACTCGCCTGAAGCACACAGGCTTTCAAGGCCTTTCTCAGCCTCTCCTTTCCAAGTTCTTTTTCTGCTGCAACAACTTCCGCATCACGTTTGTGATTGCTCAACCTCCTCAATGGGCAAAATGTGGTGCACGGCGGACTGCTCGTCACCAACAAAGGTTGCTCCTGAATGATCATCTTCAGGACCTCTCTGTAGTCATCGGGTCGATCCAAATCCCAATGGCCACTGCCGTCGGGCTTCATCTCATCCAAGTCGATTGCCGCTCCTCTCCTCATGCCGAAGCGCTCGACCTCTTGATTCACCCTCTGGGGTGAAAACACCTCGATGACATCCATTGCACCAAGATCCATGATGATCTGTGCCGCCTCTCGGCTTCCGATGATCTTTTCCATGGCTCCTACAGCCTCATCTCTGATGCTCTCCTGGACTTCTGCCTCAACCTGTCTCTCAAGGTCTTCCACGTCGAGAACCCCCTGTTCTCCTCCTTTCCTCTTGGGGCTCTCCCCAATCACCTCATCTTCTGCAGCCTCACCTCCTCCATGTTGTAGTTCGTCTGCACTCGGCCTCGAGCTTGAAGAAGGTCCTGACTGCTGTGGCTGTTGTGATGCTTCTGCACGCTCCTCAAGCCGCATCTTCACCTCAGCCTCAATTTTGTCATCCTGCTCCCTCTGCCTCTTTGCTGACTCCTCTGAAGTCTTCTGTTGCTCCTCAATGCACCTCTTGATCCTCATTCTGCATGTCTCGCTATGGGCGATCTGTTGATATCCAACGCCCCTCATCAGCGATGTGCACCCTGGGCACTCAGCTGTCTTGTTGATGTGCTCACGCCTCACCGGCCAAGCCCTCTTCTGCCCTGCCGGCGCTTGAGCACTGACGCTCGGTCCACCCAAAAGTGGAGCGCCCTCACCACCTGTGTCCTCTCCTCCAGGCCGTAGGTCTCCTCCAGGAAGTTCTCCTTGTTCAGCATGTAGTGCCACAGGTGCTGGTGCCACCGCCGCCGGTATGACCACCGGCACAGCAGCTGGCAATCCCAAAGGTTGTGGTGGCTCCTCCACCGCTCTCCTCACATAAGCTTGAACATCCCATGGGGCTCCTTTCAAGCCATCTTCAAGTTGAATCCACTTCTCCTCCTCGGGCAGAAAGTGGTAATGGCCAAGACGCTCCCAAAGCGATTGTGGCACCCCAGGAACCTGCCAGATTTCATCTTGGAAAGATCGCCTTTGCGACCCTGGCCGACTGGCTTCACCATGATGCGTTCTCCAAAAAGAGGCATTGGTTTCAGCCATCTTTTCCCAGTTCGGCGTTCCTCTGGAGTGCGGCCGTCATGGCCAATCTTGAACCTGTTGCTCTGCTCTGCTGCATAGCGGGGCACCCAGGTCAGCAAAGGATGTCCTTCAGGAAGCTTGATGTTGAGCTTCTTCTCCAGCATCATTGTGATGGCTCTCACACGCCATTTTATCTCCCGAACTGCCTGCTCGGCTTCTCCATTTGCTTTTGAATCTCCTTTTGGTGACTCCTCATGAATTGCCCTGACCAGCCCTTTCGATTGTTGGGCTGCGGCTCTTTTCAGTGCGATCAAGGCCCTCTCGCCATCGCTCTTCAAGACCACCTCCCGGTATCCAAGGACGTCCAGGAACTTTGCCAAGAGCTTCGTTGCTGTCAAGTCTGCCACACCTTTCTCCCTCAGGGATGTTGACATCATCATTCCAGTGCGGCGATCTTGAGCAACAAGATATGGCTTGGCACCATCCTCCTCGCCCATGTAGTAGTAATCCATGGTCACCGTGTCGACCAAGTCCTCACTGTGGTCAATGCGGCGATGTTGCATGATGGCTCATCCCAGTGGCCTTGATGCACTCCTCACACCACGATCTGTAGACTGCATGTCCACTACTTTCATGTTCTGCTCGTTCACGATCTGTTGGGCTCTTTGGTGTCCAGCCAGGGTTGGCACGTCGGGCCTCCACTGGCTCTTCAACTCCTTCATCACCTCGAATTTGCATTTGGTCATCACCTGCATCTGCTTCTGGACCATCACCTTCTACCGCGCAGACAGGTCGATGTCTCATCGGCGATCTGCTCCTCATAGGTCCATCTGATCCAGTTGCCCTAGGTGCAGGTGCAAACGTTGGCTGTGGGACCAACTTCATCTCAGCTCTCTGCTCTGGTGGCTCCTCATCAGGTGTTGCAGGAGCGTCCAACTTGTTCACGTCCTCCAAGTCATGGATGTAGAAGTTGTACACGCCGTTCTCCTCATAGAGTGGTATGATGCCCTCATCCCCATGCCTTCCAATTGCTGCTGCATAGGCCACACACAACGACTCGTTGACGGGGTGCTTCAAGGGAATAATGCATCCACCACCAGGGCCAATCCAAGTCGAAAATCCCTTCTTGTGTAGGGCTCCAGCACTGACCAAAATCTTGTGCACCTCCGTCACCTGGCCGGTCAACTTGCGCCCGATGCCCTTCTCGTCCTTGCCCCTGATGGATGTAGTTCCATATCCTCTGATGATTTCTCCTGATGCGGTCTTCAGGCGCACGTCATTGGGCTCATCCACGTTGTTGAACATCCTTCTCGGGAAGACGGTAACTGATGCACCGGTGTCCAAGTTGCATTTGATCCACCCCTCATCCAGCGAGTTGACGGTCGATGCCACTGATGCCTCACGATCTGAAGCTGCTCTGGATTCTTCTCCTTCCTCCTCAAAGAAGGGGGTGTCCGTCACTCTCGACATCCTTGAAGTGCTCACCCTCGAAGTCCTTGATGGAGTAGGGGATGAAGTGATAGTGCATAGGTCCAATCCTCCTGCATCAGCTGGTGGTTCAGGCTCAGGGTTGTCCAAAGAGTTGGCACTGCCCTTCTGCTTTCCCTTCTGCTTGTCTCCTCCTTTTGCCTTTGCCTCCAGAAGGTTGCCAACACTGAGCCTTCTTATGTCCAACCTTTCCACAGTTGTCGCACTTGCCCTCGAATCTCACCTGCTTCTTAGGGCTTGCACTTGCATGAACTCCTCGATGAAGCTTTGCCCTTGTTGTGGGGATCTCGATGCCAGCACTGAGCCTTCTTGTGTCCTGGCTTCCCGCAATGATCGCAGGTGCCTTCGAATTTTCTGCCTGGCTTCTGACTGCTGCCAGGCTTGCCTCCTCCTTTGCCCTTTGCAAGAGAGCTCAAGGTGCCGCTAACAGCTTTGACCAAGGAGTCAATGTCCATGGCCACAGGACCATTCGAAGTGCTCGGCTTGGCAAAGTTGGATGACACCACCATTCGGCTCCCTGTCTTGGCTTCGATGAAGTTGATGACTTCCTGCTCCATCTCGTCGAAGGTTCTGAAGCGGGTGTAGTTGAGCATCAGGTGGGTCTCGAGGTCCTTGGGCACCAATTTCTCTAAGGCGTTCATCGCCAGAGACTCCGGCAACGCCTCTCTGATCCCAAACTGGTCCTTCTTCCTGTCGTATCTGGACCTCAGGGCTTTCCACCTCTCCAAAGCTGCTTGAAGGCTTTCGTATGATGCCCTCTCTGGGTTTGTAAGGGCCTGCAACATCACCCTTTTCCTCGACCCAGTGGCAGGATCGAAGCGCCTGTGCAAGAGGCGCCATGCCTCCAGCCCACGCCCTGTGGGGCAATTCTCCACCAAGTCAAAGGGATTTCCCTCTGTCGTCGCTCTGAGCACTGTGTATACAGCTGGCTGTTGGGCTCGTCCACCTCGTCCCACTGGTCGTTGAGGTCCGCCGCCATGCCGAAGTTGTTGTCGATGTCAGTCTGTGTCACCTCAGCGTCCATACCAGCGGACCATTCCAGTACTTCTCGGCATCGTCCTCCGAAAACACCTGCAACATAGTCTTCCAGTTTGATTGCCCATAACCGGAACTTGGCATCAGCATCATCGCCAAGCACCGTAGGTTTTCCGAATCCGTTTGGATCTATGAGGCCCTTAGGGCGATTCATCCTTGAAATGGCTTCTGGAAGACCTTGTGGTGCTCGAAGGATCTCATCTGGTTGACTCCTCCTCCATGGTGAGACGGCGAGACCGCCGCTTGCTGTGCAGCTTGCGGCCTGCTGCAGCTCAAAGTTCGTGATTCAGTCCCTCAGTTGTTGATTCTCGGCCTGCTGCTGTTGCAATTGATTCTGCATTCCTTGAACCGCCTGGACTAGGTCCTCCATCGTTGGAGCTGCCATCGCCGAAGATCAGGCCAAGCGCAACCCAATGTAGTCCTCCTCCACAGGCAAGGATCACCGTGAGGACCCCAATGATCCACCTTGCACTCGGCCACCAAGATCGCCTTCTCATCGGCAACCTCCCCAGCACCAGCTGCTGGGCCACGGCGATGCGACCTCTCTGGAGCGCCCTGCCAGGCCCAGGGGTCGCTACCATGCAAACGTGGCCTATATCCAAGGCCCTCCCGCAGCTATGCTGCTGCTCGCTTTTGTGCCAGATGGCTATGGGTATGTAACCCACTTGAAATCTGCATAGAAAGATCGATATAGGTAGATAGATAGAGAGATAGAGAGATAGAGAGATAGAGAGAGAGAGAGATAGATAGATAGATAGGTAGAAAGAAAGAAAGATAGATAGATAGATAGACAGACAGACAGATAGATAGATAGATAGAGAGACAGTTAGATAGATAGATCGATAGATAGGTAGATAGAACGATAGATCGATAGATAGATAGATCGATAGATCGATCGATCGATAGATAGATAAAGATATATGGATAGATGGATGGATAGATAGATAGATAGATAGATAGATAGATAGACAGACAGATAGATAGATAGATAGAAACATCGATAGATCGATAGAGAGAGAGAGAGGGAGAGATAGATAGATAGATAGATAGATAGATGGACAGATAGATGGACAGATAGACAGGTAGACAGATAGATAGATAGATAGATAGGGGGACAGATAGACAGATAGACAAATAGATAGAGAGACAGTCAGATAAATAGATAGATAGATAAATAGATAGATAGATGGATGGATAGATAGATAGATAGATGGACAAATAGCTAGAAAACTAGACAGCTAGAAAACTAGACAGCTAGATAGATAGGTAGGTAGATAGATGGATAGGGAGATAGATAGACAGACAGACAGACAGACAGATAGATAGACAAACAGACAGATAGATAGATAAACAGATAGTTAAACAGATAGATCAGTAGGTAGATAATCAGAGAAAGATAGAGAAACAGAGAGAAAAAGAGAGAAAGAGAGAGAAAGAGAGAGAGAGAGAGAGATCAAGCACCTTTCAGTCCATGAGTGGCTTCGCTCTGCCATCCCTGATTCACAACAACCAACCTCTCCTATAGGTTTCCTATTTTTAAAACTTCCGCCACCGCCTTGTGCGGTACTACTGGTATAAGAGAATAATGACTGGGAGATTGATACAAACCCCATATTTATTAAACTGTATATTATATTAACATATTTCAGGAACATTTAACAATAATCAATATGCTAATTTTAGATGCCTCTTGAATGGCAGGGGTCCCAGACCTATGACCTGGACGAAGCGGCTTCCGAGCCAGAAGAAACCTGGGATTCAACGGGCAGATTAGTATTTGTTTAGGTTGATGCAGAGGAGGGAAAACATAGCATGAATGGCATGAATTTTCAACTCATGAGTATACTGTAGCCTAACTGACAAGATTCTAGCAATCCAACTTGGTATCAAAATTGCTATAGGATTTCTAGCGATTAGCCCACGCGTGCCAACAGAAATGCTTGAATTGGCCAACTACCTGGCAGTCCAAACGAATGCGATTGGGACATGGCAAACCCATGTCCAACACAGCAATGGCAATGAAGACTTCCCTTCAGCGCCCGGCACATTCATAGGATGCGTGTCAGAGTCTTGCAGCAAATCCTCCGAGCTCTCCACAGCAGTGGGCCCACTGGACGATATCTAAAAAATAACCGCCACATCAATGCGCCACATCAGATGCCACACCACCTCTGTTTTTCATTTCTGGGAAATTATGCAGAGGATCTCCTCATTGGAAAACTCTGGCACCCTAAGAATCCTAAGATACCCTAAGCTCATCAGTTTCGCAGCCGTCTGCAGCCTCTGTTCGCCAATAGGAGGACCGCATTCCCATCATTTTCCCCAGCTGCTGCGATTTGGTGACCAGGAGACGACTCCATCAACACCTCTGCGGCTGGGAGGCCTAGAACGCGCTGGTATGCCCTGTGGAAAAATGATGTTTCCACAGGCCAATGAAGATTAAAGGATCTGAAACGTGAAAATCATCCAGCACGAATCCATACAAATAATCCTAACCACGTGGAGCTATACGTAATCATACGTAATCATAATCGAAGTGAATTCAATTATTATGGCTGTTGAAGGAGCTTTGCCACGGATCCTGGTACAACTGTCCTGATTACGATGAAAGCTGCAAAAGCCAACAAACATGTTCCGAAATGAACAAAGAAAAACCCAGCGAGCGCCCTGTGAATGCCAGAAGTCATAGATGCAGCTTACCAGCCTCCAGGCCAGCGAACTCTGCCACATGTTATCGCATTTTATCATATTTCATCCAAAACAGAAACCAGTTTGCAGGTTGAAATAAAAGGACCGGATAACCCCACAAGTCAACTTCTTCCAATAATGAGCCAGAAATGTTGTAGCGGGGACAGGGAAGGAAGGAAAGACAAAGGAGGAGGTGGAGGAAAGATGGTGTGACAAAGTTGCGTGTGAAAGATGATGTGTGAAAGATGGTGTGCGAAAGATGGTGTGTGACAAAGCTGTGTGTGAAAGATGGTGTGTGAAAGATGGTGTGTGAAAGATGGTGTGTGAAAGATGGTGTGTGACAGAGTTGTGTGTGAAAGATTGTGTGTGTGTGACAAAGTAGTGTGTGAAAGATGGTGTATCAAAGATGGTGGGTGACAAAGTTGTGTGTGTGAAAAATGGTGTGTAAAATATGGTGTCAAAGAGGGTGTGTGAAAGATGGTGTGAAAAGTGGAGCTGTGATGGGTTGTGATGTGATAAGTGAGGTGTGAGAAGTGGTGTGAAAAGTGGAGCTGTGATGAGTTGGGATGTGATAAGTTGTGATGAGTTGTGATGAGAAGTTGTGATGTGATAAGTGAGGTGTGAGAAGTGAAGCTGTGATGGGTTGTGATGATGAGTGGAGCTGTGATGAGTTGTGATGAGAAGTGGACCCGTGAGAAGTGATGAGAAGTGGAAGCGCGAGAAGTGGAGCTATGATGATGAAGTGGAGCTGTGATGAGTGAGGTGTGACAAGCGGAGCTGTGATGAGTTGGGATGTGATAAGGTGTGATGAGACAGTGATAAGTGGGGAGTGAGATGTGGTGTAGTGATGAGTGGTGAATGATGAGTGAGATGTGATAAGTGGTGAGTGAGCTGTGAGAATGGTAAGTGAGAAGTGATGAGTGAGATGTGATAAGTGGTGCGTGATGAGGGGTGAATGATAAGTGGCGCCTGCCACGCGAAAGCAGCCGCGGCCCTCCGCCAGGAGGCTCTGTGTACTGCGCCTGCCACGCGAAACGCAGCCAGGAAGCTCTGTGTACTGCACCTGCCACGAGAAAGGCAGCCGCGGCCCAGCGGCGGCCACGCGCGCCGCAGCTCCGCCAGGAGGCTCTGTGTACTGCGCCTGCCATGCGAAACGCAGCCAGGAAGCTCTGTGTACTGCGCCTGCCACGAGAAAGGCAGCCGCGGCCCAGCGGCGGCCACGCGCGCCGCAGCTCCGCCAGGAGGCTCTGTGTACTGCGCCTGCCACGCGAAACGCAGCCAGGAAGCTCTTTGTACTCGCTACTGCTCTTCGCCACGAGAAAGGCAGCCGCGGCCCATCGCGGCCAACGCGCGCCGCAGCTCCGCCAGGAGGCTCTGTGTACTGCGCCTGCCACGCAAACCAGCCAGGAAGCTCTGTGGTAACTCTGCGCCTGCCACGAGAATTCAGCGCGGCCCAGCGGCGGCCACGCGCGCCGCAGCTCCGCCAGGCTCGTGTATCTGCTGCGCCTGCACGCGAATAAACGCAGCCAGAAGCTCGGTGTACTGTGAACTCTTGCGCCTGCACGAGAAAGCACCGCGCATAGCGGCGGCCACCGCACGCGCCGCCGCAGTCCGCAGGAGGCTCGTGTACTGCGCCCTGCCACGCGAAGCGCAAGCCAGAAGCTCTGTGTAAGCCAGCCGCGTCCCAGCAGCGGCGGCCACAAGCGCCCGCAGCTCGTCAGGAGGCCTCTGTTTAACTGCGCCTGCCACAGCGAAACGCAGCCAGGAAGCTGTGTTTACTGCACCTGCCCACGAGAAAGGCAGCCGCGGCCCAGCGGCGGCCACGCGCGCCGCAGCTCCTCCAGGAGGCTCTGTGTACTGCGCCTGCCACGCGAAACGCAGCCAGGAAGCTCTCTGTATTGCACCTGCCACACGACAGCCAGCCGCGGGCCAGCGGCGCCCACGCGCGCCGCAGCTCCTCCAGAGGGCTCCGCAGCTCCTCCGTGAGTGAGTGAGTGAGTGAGTGAGTTGAGGGAGTGGAGTGGAGTGGAGTGGAGTGGAGTGGAGTGGAGTGGAGTGGAGTGGAGTGAGTGAGTGCGTGAGTGCGTGCGTGCGTGCGTGCGTGCGTGAGTGAGTGAGTGAGTGAGAGAGAGAGAGAGAGTGAGTGAGTGAGTGAGTGAGTGAGAGAGTGAGAGAGTGAGAGAGTGAGAGAGTGAGAGAGTGAGAGAGTGAGAGAGTGAGAGAGTGAGTGAGTGAGAGAAGTGAGTAGGAGTGAGGGAGGGAAGGGAGGGAGTGAGGGAGTGAGGGAGTGAGGGAGTGAGGGAGTGAGGGGGTGAGTGAGTGAGTGAGTGAGTGATGAGTGAGTGAGTGATGAGTAGTGATGAGTGCGGCGCGGCGGCGGCGGACGGAGGAGAGCGGCGGGATCCAAGCGAAAAACAAGAACCCCACACAGTGATGTGGGGAAAAACATCTGCCTGTCCCACAAATTCTCCGAAGCATGGGTCCTGACAGGCTCTCAATCCGAATGATCTGCCAGTTGTTTCTGCTTATTTCCTGCTTCTACACATCATCCATTATCATCCTCCACTTGTTTCTACTTTCAGTGGAATTTTGGTCTCTCCTTGTTCTGGGTGCAAAAGCCCACCATCTCCCAATTCTCATCCTGGCGATGCACGAAGCCCGCACGCACGACACAACTTGTACATCTCATGGCCTGAGGCCCTGAGGCCCCTGCATCGTTCATGGCGGCACTATAAAAATCCATGCCTTCCCCCTGTCCCACTGTTTGAGCTGAGCTGAGGCAAGGCCCAATCTCGAAAGGATCCAAATGGATCATAGATTCGAAGCAAGGGTTGACAACATGCTGATGTTATGTCCAAAATGTCTTACAAAAAACCATTTCCGTAAGTGCTGCCCCATGCTGCCCCTAATCGGTCCTGAGTAATTCCACACTAATCGTTAGATATGTGCGTTGCTGTCTACTTCAATTAATTATGTCCTTTGGGGCGTATGATCAAGGTTTGCCGTGGTTTGCCATACCATACCATTTGCCACCATTTCCACTGTGGGCATCTTCTGTCCAGCAGTGGCTTCATCTCTCAAGTCGGAAGATTGACTTCTACACTCCTTCAATAACAATTGTAACATGATTTTGTTCATGAACATGGTGATCATGTTGAAAACCTGTACATATCATTACATATCTACACATTTGTCACACGCATCATTGATGAGAACAGCATTTTGGACCTCGCACAACGTACTCCTGAAATCTCTTGATGCTGCATGAAGTGCACAATGTTCCACTTTGTGGATTGTGCAATAATTCTGTGCGACAGGCGCATTCGCGAGACCCTAGCCTAGGGAAAGGCAGCAACAAGAAGAACTGAACAAATGTATAATGTATCGAGTCTTTGACCCTCATCGGCATCATAAGAAAAGAAAACTACAGCGTTGCGGACAACAAAGTTTCTCCGAAAACAGGGTTCTCCTTCCAGTCGTCCTCCTTAAGAGTGACTCCTTTGTCAATTTCTGCGATGCGTTTGTAGCCATCCCTATCCTCAATGGCTCTCACTTTCTCAGCCAGGGGTGTCAGGGTGGCCTGAAGCCTCCCAGCTGCTTGATTGGCTCGAAGCGGCAAATCTTCATGGGTGGAGGAATAGTTCTGCGGCACAAAGACTACTGCAATCTCTTGGAAAAGAGCCTTGATGACCATACAGTAGCGCTGGAATTCTTGCTGATCAAGCAAAGAGGTTGGACGCAGCTCTTCGTACATGCTTGGTGATGGTACCAAGAAGTTGTCTTCAGCGATCACTGGAATCACTCCGCAGGAAGGGAGCTGGCTGGTCTGCAACAACCAGCGCTCCACTTGGGCTGACTTCCAGCAGTTGGAACTGCAAATCATCAACGCCACCTGGGCTCCGTCGAGCACGTCGTTGCCTTCCTCCAAGACGGAGGTAAGTGGCAAACGGGTACCAATCAGTTTGGGGTTCAACATTGAAGACAGCACCATGGCCGTGGCCATTGCCTCTGTGTCTCCAGGGTTTGCTAACACTGGGCAATCTGTGGAATAAAAAGTTGTCATTCTGCAAGCTGACAATGACTGGCCACACAACATACTCACCAGAGGAAATGCCGAGCTCGGCGTGAATTTCTCTGGCAAATTGTGACTGGCGACCGTGTGCAGCCATCTGAAAGTTTTCGCCACATCTGACAGGCCAATGCCATGGTTGGCGAGCTCTCCATAATCTGGGACAAGGGTTGGGAAGTGCTCAATGAACTTCTCATCTGGTTTCAGGAATGCTGGCCAAGAAAGGAGCAGAGTCTTCACGTTGTTCCGATGTGCTGTCACCATCTCACCCACACACCATTTGCGCGTGAGAATTGCGGGGCTGCCAAGGATGAGGAAAGTTTCCGTGTCCTGGCACGTTGCAGGTTGGAGATAAAAGATTTAAGCACTGCAACCGCTTGGAGACATCTGTGCACACGAAAGCTTTTATACACAGAGAAACCTTTTACACGCGAAAAATTACACACGGAAACTTTCACACACTAGCAAAATCTTGACCATCAGTGTGCCCCTGCCAAACCCTATCCCTACACTAAGCCATCTACTGTATCTGAGCACTTTGAAACGTAGCAAAACTACTGTAAGATCTCAAAACCGGATCTGAATTACATATAGTCTCGCCGTTTAGCCTGGGTGTATGTACTGTACGATATGTGGATTGAACCGTTGGCGACGGCCACAATGACAATGAGGCTGTACCTCCTGAAAATACCACTCAGGGGTCCCAGAAATCCCAAAACAATCACAACCTGTTTGAAACGTGTGAGGGCCGCCTAAAGAGTGATTCCCAGTGACTATAAAGGCCAACCTCATTTCACAAGCACTATACTTTTCTCATGCGTCGACGTTGCAGTGATGTTGGCACTACCGAGGGGTGCAGATCCCCTGTGTGTGGCAGTCAATGACCATAAGTCAGCAAAACAAGCCTAAAACCTACCTCCACTATAAAATCGGTCGGCCCCTCCTACAGCATACCCCTCAATAAACATCAATAAACCAACTTATACCACGCCTGGACCATCCCTACCCCTTAGACCAGCGGGGGCAGAAAATTGTAATATTACTTTTTTCGAGGGTAGGTGGGTGAAAAATGTAATATTACAATATTCGATTTCGAGGGAAAAATGTAATATTACAATTTTTTGGTACCATGATGTACCATGGGGAGATTAAAAAAATGTAAGTTATGAAAGTTCAGGCTGACAAACATATGCATTTTGCAGGCACATCCAGTGCAGATGTTTTTCAACTTTACATTTATATTGCCCGAAAACCTGAAAAACTAATCATATAGCTGTATAAAGTGTCATAGGCTATGACTCATAGCCTATTTAAAAAAGATACCATATGATACAATGACATACCATAAACTATCTAAACCATATGTTAAAAATACCGACAACATATCTACAACATATCTAAATCATATCTCTAGAACATATTCAACATACATTTTTACATTTATTTGTCTTAAAACCTCAAAGCATAATCATATAGCGGTATAAAGCATCACAACATATCTAAAGATACCATATGATACCATGAAATACCATAAGCTATCTAAACCATATCTTAAACATATCCACAAAATAATATAAAATAATCCCTTCCCCCTATTACCAAACCCACCCAAATAATAAAAACCAGGGTCCATCTCCAATTTTGGAAAATTTCAGATTGGCCAATTTGACTTTTGATTGATCCCCTTTAGAAAACAATTAAAAAAACGAACCATTTGTGGGTTTCGCCCCTTAATAATAAAAACTACTCAGCCCCGGGTGTTTATTATTAGGGTCCGTCCGGAATTATGTTTTTAATTAAAGTTTTTAGTTATTATTAGGGCCCGCTTCGAAAACCCATTTTTGGCGATATTTTAATTGCGTTATATAAGGAAATTGAATCGATTTTGAAATCGGAAAAATAGTTTTTATTGGTAAGGTTATAAATTTGTTAATAGGGTCCGCTTCGAAATCTAATTTTTTGGCAATACTTTGATTGCGTTATATAAGGAAATTGAATAGACTTTGAAATCGGAAAAATAGTTTCTATTATTAATGTTTTAAATTTATTAAAAGGTTTCCCTAATAAGTTAAGTCACAGCACGGCATATTTTGCAAAGCATCTTTCTGCTTGCCTGGGCTGACGCTGCACCTAGACACGTATCTGCTGAGAACCACGTTGGGCACCTCAATGACTATAGATGACTGGGATGTTATCCTATGTCATTTATTGTCATGTTGAGACATTTTTCCTGCATATGTGCGTATCATTGTGCACTTTGCCTGGAATTGCCATGAACTGTCTGGTGAATGGTGGTGTTTTTTGAAAAATGTAAGCTAGACTGCTTCAGGTGTTGAAAATGATGGTGTTTTGCAGAAGATCTCCATGTCCGAACAGTCAAGCTTACATTTTCTTATTACTTCTTATCCCATCTTATTCCCACATTATGCCATAGGGTGATATATTGCACTTGAGAGGGGGAACACGAAAGGTAGGTAAGCAAGAAAGGAACCGAAGAAAAAATGAAGGGGAAAGGGCAGGGAAAAAAAACATAAAGCGGATTCTGGTAAAAGCGACGCGGCCATTTTCTTTCCAAAAATATGAAGGGGAGTCTGGTAAAAGCCACTGAAAGGCTTCGGCGATGTGGTTAGGGTTGGTGGTGGTTGTGGTGTTGGTGTTGTTGGTGTTGTTGGTGGTGGTAGTGTTTCTGGTGTTGTTAGTGTTGTTTGTGTTGTTGGTGTGGTTGGGTTTGTTGGTGGTGTTGGTGTTGTTGGTCGTGTTGTTGGTGTTGGTATTGTTTGTGTTCGTGTTGTTGTTGTTGTTGTTGATGTTGTTGTTATTGTTGTTGTTGTTGTTGTGTGTTGTTGTGTGTTGTTGTGTGTTGTTGTGTGTTGTTGTGTGTTGTTGTGTGTTGTTGTGTGTTGTTGTGTGTTGTTGTGTGTTGTTGTGTGTTGTTGTGTGTTGTTGTGTGTTGTTGTGTGCTGTTGTGTGTTGTTGTGTGTTGTTGTGTGTTGTTGTGTGTTGTTGTGTGTTGTTGTGTTTTGTTGTGTTTTGTTGTGTTTTGTTGTGTTGTTGTGTGTTGTTGTGTGTTGTTGTGTGTTGTTGTGTGTTGTTGTGTGTTGTTGTGTGTTGTTGTGTGTTGTTGTGTGTTTTTGTGTGTTGTTGTGTGTTGTTGTGTGTTGTTGTGTTGTTGTGTGTTGTTGTGTGTTGTTGTGTGTTGTTGTGTGTTGTTGTGTGTTGTTGTGTGTTGTTGTGTGTTGTTGTGTGTTGTTGTGTGTTGTTGTGTGTTGTTGTGTGTTGTGGTGTGTTGTGGTGTTGTTGTGTGTTCTTGTGTGTTCTTGTGTGTTCTTGTGTGTGTTGTGGTGTGTTGTGGTGTGTTGTTGTGTGTTGTTTGTGTTGTTGTGTGTGTTGTTGTGTGTTGTCTGTTTTTGTTTTGTTTTTCTTTTTTTTTGTGTGTTGTGTGTTTTGTGTGTTGTGTGTGTTGTGTGTGTGTTGTGTGTGTTTTGTGTGTTTTGTGTGTTGTGTGTTGTGGGTTGTGCGTTGTGCGTTGTGCGTTGTGTGTTGTGCGTTGGGGTTGTTGTTGTTGTTGTTGTTAGTTGTTAGTTGTTAGTTGTTTGTTGTTTGTTGTTTGTTGTTGTTGTTGTTGTTGTTGTCGTCGTTGTTGTTGTTGCTGTTGGTGTTGTTGTTGTTGGTGTTACCCCTGCAGCGTTTTTGCTCGGTTCCGTAGTGGCCGAAAATCGTCAAATCGGTGGTGTTTTCGCGTGTTTTTACAACTCTCGGAGCAAAAAACACCGTAAATACCAATGTTTTTGGCGGGTCGGAAGCCCAAAACCACAGTATTTACGATGTTTTTTGCCTCTGGTAGTAAAAAGCACGGTATTTACAGCGTTTTTTGGCCAGCACCTGGCAAAAACACTGGTATTTACGGAGGTTTCACCATGTAGCAAAATGTGGTTTCTTGATCCGAAAAGAACAAAAATACTGTAAATTACAGTATTTTGAGTCTGCTCTTAGGGTGCGTGGGAGGTGTGGAGGAGGGGGGGGGTACTAAAATGACTAGCAATCTCCTGAAGAATCAGGTAACGGGGCTGGCCGCCCTCCCCTTTACTTCGTAAAGTAAAACTCAAGGTAGCCCCTCTGGAGCTACCTTTCGTGATCATACTGTGACATATCTTGCAACGCATTTTTCTGCTTGCCTAGGCTGGCACTGCACCAGAAGGAGAATCTGCTGAGAACGACGTGGGGCACCTAGATCACTGTAGATGACTAAGATTGGCATGGGTTCACCAACATTGACAAATATTGACAAGGTCCATTGATAGCTATATAGTTTCTTGAAGTTTCTTATGGTTTCCAGTGGTTTCTTGATGCTTCCTATCTAAGCGTGAAAAATGTAAATTGATGCAAGATCATGCAAGAAACTGTAAGATCCAATGTTACATTATATTACCATATATTGTCATTACCTATATGGTAAGCCGATTGGGGGAGGGTGTTTGAGATAGTGGTGGGCTGCATGGATTCTAGCCCCCCTATTGCTTTCAGCTGACATTTTTGCGTCGCATAGCTGAGATCCCGTTTGGTCATTTCATGATATTTTATGTCATTTTTTGTGTATAGTTGCGCATCATTGTGCGCTTTGCCTGGAGTTGCCTGGTGAATGGTGTGTTTTTTGAAAAATGTAAGCTAGATTGCTTTGGGTGTTGAAAATGATGGTGTTTCCAGTTTCCAGAAGATTTCCATGCCCACACAATCAAACTTACATCTTTATTACTACTTCTTATTCAATCTTATTCACTCTTTATGTCATAAGGCATCATAAGGTGACATTGTATATCATTGTATCATAATGTGGCACATCTTGCAAACCATTTTTCTGCTTGCCTAGGCTGGCACTGCACCTGGGGGAGCATCTGCTGTGAACTATGTGGGGCACTTCGATCACTGTAGATTCTAGATGACTAGGATGATATTCTATGTTCATTTTTGTGCATGTGATTGCATATGTGCGTATCATTGTGCACTTTGCCTGGAATTGCTGTGAATTGCCTGGTGAATGGTGGTGTTTTTTGAAAATGTAAGCTAGACTGCTTTAGGTGTTGAAAATGATGGTGTTTTGTAGGAGATCCCCATGTCCACACAGTCAAACTTACATTTTTCCCCACCTGCCAGGTGAGGGTTGTTAGATTTTATGTCAGTTGCCTGCTCCTCCTCTCCTCTCCTCTCCTCATCTCCTCTCCTCCTCCTCGTCGTCCTCCTCGTCGTCCTCCTCGTCCAACTGCGACCCGCGATCCACAGTGTTCTCTGTCGGACCTCAACCACGACCATCCACGCCCAGTGTGCCCTGCCGG